ATTTTAAAAAATTTAATTAAAATAGAAATAGAACCCACACCAAAATAATAGACATAACCATGGACTTGCAACATCGCATAAGGGGTCAATCCCCTCAACAACGTGCCGACACCTTTAGTCAAGCGTGAGATCAAAACTCCCGTGTCGGGCTTTTGGTTTCAAAGGAATTTCTGTTAATGGTAAACTAGCAGTTCTAGTCCTAACTTCTGGATTCCACAAAAGTTAATTCTCATGTTTCTAATTTCTGCAATTTGCTTTTAAAAATTATGATTTCTTTCAATTAAACCCTTTTTTACACAAAAAATGAAAATTATGTAAAATCAAATAAAACCTCGTAAAACTCATTCAAATATCAATGTTATCAAAATAAAAATTTCACACTAATATATATATATATATAAATTCAACTCATTACTCACCATAATACAAATTTGAGATTTGTATCCAAAAATTACATATATGTGCCAAAGAAGAAGAAAAGGACCTTAACTGAAAATCACTAGTGGCTAACAGTGAAGTTAATAGGAGTTTTCATCGTCAATCCAACTTAACTTGGTGAAATACTAGAATTAAGAATTTACATTTAAGGGGTAAGTAGGTATTTGAAATACACATAATTTTCACTTAAAAATACAAAAATTCAAATGCATATATTTGAAAAAAATTTAAATACACTCTTATCTAATATAAACAAACAATATATTTAAATTTAGAGTTTTAAATTTAAATACACTCTAGTCAAACTCATGTTGACAAATAGGGTGTTAGAATATCCAATAATTAAAAAATGAAGAAAGGTCCGATTGGAAAAGTAGAGCAAATAGGATAAGGGAACAAAGGTGCAGTTTTAACTTTCAATTTCACTCGCTAAATTTCTAATAATAAAACAATAAATTGGTCAACTGGTCCCCAACAAATAATTAATTCTTGCCCACACTATTATATTTATAGACTGAATTTTTTTATGTAGTTTAAATATTAAAATTATCAAAAATATCTTTAACAAATTTTTTTTACATTATTTATTAATAATATTTTGATAATTTAATATTTAAATTATATAAAAAATACAATCCATACTTAAAAAAACACCCATCTCTTATTTTTGTATGGGTAAGTAATTATAAAACCTTAGATAGTAACATTTGAAGTAGACTCAAGATGGCTGGTAAGTACATAGAATTTGCTTTGCTTTGCCGAAGGATAGCAAAATAAAATAAAATAAAATAAAGGCCCATCCTTTATGGATGTGTAGCCAACCAAAATACAAGTTAAAAAAAAAAAAAAAACTTAAGAGGACTGAATTATCCATTTTTTAATGGATGGAGGACATTTACTTAATTTTTTTAAAAAAATACTATAACAATAATATCACGTGGTATGATAAGTTTATAACATAAGGTACCGTTATATAATTAATTTTTTTAAAATTCATTCATGATATTGTATACATTCACTCATTTAATCTCATATCATACTCATATAATTTTATATCATACTCATTTAATATCATATTATGATTATAAATTTATAATTCTACATAACATTATAATTATAACATTACCAATTTTTTTTTATACATTACAAGTTGATTCTCCTCCATTAATAATTATAAAAATGTGGAGTTCACCTTGCCATCTCTTCCTAACTACATTTTCATTCAAAGTTTCAAGTTCTTGATGAGTACAAACAATCATCTTTAATTCTCAATTACAAATGAACAACCAGACATTTGACTTTTTATGGTTACAACACAAAATTTCCAAGTTGCTTCCTCCTTTAGTCTTCGATTTTCCTATTTTCCTATAAATACATTACCTTCTGCACCCTTATCTTCTCAACTCTCAACTAGAACCCAAAACATGGCCTTCTCTTCTAATTTCTTCATCATTTTAATCCTTTCTTTCTTACTCACCCGTGGAATCCACAAGCTTGAAGCTTCACATCGATATCATGTTTACCCAAACCTTCAAACTCTTGATGAACCCACCACACCAGCTTCTGCTAATCAACCTTACAGAACTGGCTTCCATTTCCAGCCTCCCAATAATTGGATGAACGGTATTTTTCTTTCTCACCAAACTCCACTTCCTTTTTTTTTTTTTTTTGCATTTTTTGCTTCATTATGTATAGTTCTTCTGTTCTTCATTTCTCTAACTGTTTTTGTTTTGATTTCTTGTTCTTCCTCTGGAATGGACTAATGGGGTTCTGCTTCGATCATTTAACAGATCCCAATGGTGAGTTCTTTTTCTTTTCGATCTTTTGTTCTCATTTTAGACCCTATATAAAAAATTACCTAATTTTGACGGGTTAAATTTAATACCATTTTGAGTATGAAAAGATAAAAATATCCTTAATAATTCTGGGCATATGCCTAATGATTATCAAGGGCAACTTTGAATTTTCCTCACCAAACTAGTATTAAATTAAGGATAAAGATATGTGCACACCCGGGTCAACAC